AACGGAAAGTGTGGAATTTCTTGTACAAATCCTGGTTAAATCCACATTTGTGCTTCGGTTCGTTACAGACTGACCCACTGTTTGTGTCTCGCTCCTTCTGATGCAGAGACACATGTACACACCTGTTTGGTCACGATACACACAAACATACATTCGGTTTGTCGATTAAAATGAACGTAATCGATGAAATTCTTAATGATCAATTATCGATTAATCGACTAATCATGCCCATCCCTAGTCCTGACTCCTGTGGAGGGTTTGGGTGGAAGGTGGTAACATTTTTCCATCGAAGCACAACAGCTGCTCATGTCCAATAATAATGTGCTTAAAGTCAAATTCAGTTTGTGCACGATTACATTACTAACTATAATTCTATCACTTTTTTAATGTTGTGTCCTAAATTGTGGATAATTAAGATAACATAGAATATGATGAAGTATATTTCTGGAGATTAAAGATTAAAAAGAAAAAAAATGACGACAAGAACTGTACCGAACCGAAAACCGCGACCTTAAACCGTGACCGCGATACGAACCGAACTGTGAATTTTGTGAACCGTGCCACCCTTAGTGCACATCATAAGAGCTCATGGACGTTTTTTGAGATTTCTACCGTCTTATAAAGTTCTCTCATTTAAAAACCTGCCAGAAGATTGTAGACGGCATCCGTGTTTGTTTGAGTCATTTAGCGATCTCTCCCGGGCCCTATTCAAACCCTTCTTCAAAACAAAAGCTGGATTACTTCATCTCTAATTATAACCTTTTAAATTTGTTTTAAACCCGAAACAAAGCGCACGAGGCCGACGAGTGAGACGACAGAGAAGTGCGATGTCGTGATATGAGTTCTTCTCTGCAGTTTCATGTGGCAGATGTGTCCCCATTGAGGAGTCTATTTTTAGTCCTGCTCCTCTTCACACACAAACACACACACACACACACACACACACACACACACACCAGACAAAACACTTCTATTAGACTTATTACATTAACACAGATCTGATACCTCTGTAATCTACATCAGTGCTCCCCCCAACATATTTTTTTAGAGCCACGGACCAGTTTTACGGCGGTTTAGTCCTGGTTTAGTCTTGTTTTAGTCCTGGTTTAATTCTGATTTTAGATCTTGTTTAGTCCTAGTTTTAGGCATGGTTTGGACCTGGTTTAGTCCTGGTTTATACCTGATTTAGTCCTGGTTTACTCCTGGTTTAGTCCTTGTTTTAGTTCTGGTTTAGTCCTGATTTAGACCTGATTTAGTCCTGGTTTACTCCTGGTTTAGACCTGGTTTAGTCCTGGTTTTAGTTCTGGTTTAGTCCTGGTTTAGACCTGGTTTAGTCCTTGTTTTAGTTCTGGTTTAGTCCTTGTTTAGACCTGCTTTAGTGCCGGTTTACTTCAGGTTTTGACCTGGTTTATTTATGGCTTTAGACCTGGTTTTAGTTCTGGTTTAGACCTGCTTTTTACACCTGGTTTACACCTGGTTTTAGTCCTGGTTTAGACCTGGTTTAGTCCTGGTTTTAGTCCTGGTTTAGACCTGGTTTTAGACCTGGTTTAGTCCTGGTTTAGACCTGGTTTAGTCCTGGTTTAGACCTGGTTTAGTCGTGGTTTGGACTTGGTTTTGACCTGGTTTAGACCTGGTTTAGTTCTGGTTTAGACCTGGTTTAGTCCTGGTTCAGACCTGGTTTAGATCTGGTTTAGTCCTGGTATAGACCTGGTTTAGGCCTGATTTAGACCTGATTTAGTCTTTACTATACACTGTTTACAAAAAAAGTACAGTACAATATTTACTGTGATATTTTGAAGAGGCTGATATAATTGTAGATGGGAAACTTTTTAAAACCAGGAATAAAACTGGACTAAAACCAGGAAGGACTAAACCAGGTCTAAACCAGGTCTAAAACCAGGTCTAAACCAGAACTAAACCAGGTCTAAACCAGAACTAAACCAGGTCTAAACCAGGTCAAAACCAGGTCTAAACCAGAACTAAACCAGAACTAAACCAGGTCTAAAACCTAAACCAGAACTAAACCAGGTCTAAACCAGAACCAGGTCTAAACCAGGTCTAAACCAGGTAAACCAGGTAAACCAAACTAAACCAACTAACCAGGTTAACCAGAACTAAACCAGGTCTAACAGAAAACCAGGTCTAAACCAGGTCAAACCAGGTCTAAACCAGAACTAAACCAGAACTAAACCAGGTCTAAACCAGAACTAAACAAGGTCTAAACCAGGTCAAAACCAGGTCTAAACCAGAACTAAACCAGGTAAACCAGTAAACCAGAACTAAACAGGTCTAAACCAGGTCTAAACCAGGTCAAAAACAAGTCCAAACCACGACTAAACCAGGTCTAAACCAGATCTAAAACCAGGTCTCTAAACCAGGACTAAACCAGGTCTAAACCAGGACTAAACCAGGTCTAAACCAGGACTAAACCAGGTCTAAACCAGGACTCAACCAGGTCTAAACCAGGACTAAAACCAAGTCTAAAACCAGGTCTAAACTTTACCTAAAATTTAAGCAAAGGAACTTGTGATTCGATATACTGCGACGGCCACGATATTACTGTGAGACTTTTGACGATACGATATCACGATATTTCGATTATCATTAATAAAAAATAAAAATTAGCTGAAGTTATGACAAAGCAGTTATAGTGCAGGTCTAAATGATGACATAAAAACTAAAAATATCCAATAACACTTCACACCAAAGCACCAAACTTCCAGCCTGGACGTGACTAATGTGAGTTATTTTGGGTGGGACTCGTTCCTCGTTCCACTCGTGTCTCCAGAACAAAACTCAACTAAACCAAGACTAAACCAGGTCTAAACCCAGAGCTAAAATCAGGACTAAAACCAGGTCTAAACCAAGTCTAAACCAGGTCTACACCAGGTCTAAACCAGGACTAAACCAGAACTAAACCAAGACTAAACCAGGTCTAAACCCAGAACTAAAATCAGGACTAAAACCAGGTCTACACCAGGTCTAAACCAGGTCTACACCAGGTCTAAACCAGGTCTACACCAGGTCTAAACTAGGACTAAACCAGGTCTAAACCAGGACTAAACCAGAATTAAACCAGAACTAAACCAAGACTAAACCAGGTCTAAACCCAGAACTAAAATCAGGACTAAAACCAGGTCTAAACCAGGACTAAAATCAAGAAGGACTGAAACAGGTCTAAACCGGGATTAAGCCAGCTCTAAAACCAGGACTAAACCAGGTCTATACCAGAACTAAAACCATAAATAAACCAGGTCTAAACCAGAACTAAACCAGGTCTAAACCTGAACTAAAACCAGAACTAAACCAGGTCTAAACCTGAACTAAAACCACAAATAAACCAGGTCTAAACCAGAACTAAACCAGGTCTAAACCTGAACTAAAACCAGAACTAAACCAGGTCTAAACCAGAACTAAAACCACAAATAAACCAGGTCTAAACCAGAACTAAACCAGGTCTAAACCTGAACTAAACTAAACTTGTGATTCGATATAGTGTGAGAGCCACAATATTATTGTGAGACTTTTACGATATTACGATATTATCGTTTCATCTCTACTCTGTACAATAAAAAATAATAATAATTAGCTGAAATTATTACAAACCACGGTCTAGTTGGTGACATAAAAACTAAAACTCACAAACTGCACGTGACGAGTATGAGTTCATTTGGGTGGAACTCGGCACGTTTTTTGGCTCGTTCCACTCGCGTCTCGAGCTCCGACGCGAACCAAACTCAACTTCACTATTGCGCACAAATTAAACTAAACCAGGACTAAAACCAGAACTAAACCAGGTCTAAACCTGAACTAAAACCAGAACTAAACCAGGTCTAAACCTGAACTAAAACCAGAACTAAACCAGGTCTAAACCAGGTCTAAACCTGAACTAAAGCCAGAACTAAACCAGGTCTAAACCAGGTCTAAACCTGAACTAAAGCCAGAACTAAACCAGGTCTAAACCAGGTCTAAACCTGAACTAAAACCTGAACTAAAACCAGAACTAAACCAGGTCTAAACCTGAACTAAAACCAGAACTAAACCAGAACTAAACCAGGTCTAAACCAGAACTAAACTAAACTTGTGATTCGATATAGTGTGAGAGCCACGATATTATTGCGAGACTTTTACGATATTACGATATTATCGTTTCATCTCTACTCTGTACAATAAAAAATAATAATAATTAGCTGAAATTATTACAAACCACGGTCTAGTTGGTGACATAAAAACTAAAACTCACAAACTGCACGTGACGAGTATGAGTTCATTTGGGTGGAACTCGGCGCGTTTTTTGGCTCGTTCCACTCGCGTCTCGAGCTCCGACGCGAACCAAACTCAACTTCACTATTGCGCACAAATTAAACTAAACCAGGACTAAAACCAGAACTAAACCAGGACTAAACCAGGTCTAAACCAGGACTAAAACCAGAACTAAAATCAGGAAGGACTAAAACAGGTCTAACTCGGGACTAATCCAGCTCTAAAACTAGGTCTAGACCAGGTCTAAACCCAGAAATAAAACCAGGTCTAAAACCAGAACTAAACCAAGACTAAACCAGGACTAAACCAGGTCTAAACCAGGTCTAAAACCAGGTCTAAACCGGCAATAAACCAGGACAAAACCAGTTCTAAAACCAGAATTAAACCAGGGCTTAACCAGGTCTAAACCGGCTCTAAACTTGTGATTCGATATATTGCAACAGTACACGATTTTATTATGAGACTTTTGACGATACGATATCACGATATTTTCGGTTATTGTAGAGTTACTCTACTCTATATAATAAAAATATATATAATTAGATGAAATTATTACAAACCACGGTCTAGTTGATGACATAAAAACTAAAACTCACAAACTGCACGTGACGAGTATGAGTTAATTTGGGTGGAACTCGGCGCGTTTTTTGGCTCGTTCCACTCGCGTCTCGAGCTCCGACGCGAACCAAACTCAACTTCACTATTGCGCACGAATTAAACTCACCCCCAGCTCTTACCTGGTGCACTTCCACTCCAAATTCCAGTCTTTAAACTCCGCTCCGCTCCGTGCGTACGCGTCCGGCTCCGCGCACCGTTACCTCGAACCCGCAGCTGCAGCAGAAGCACCAGAAGCGCGTCTTTCCGCTCGTAAACTGCGCGCAAACGTGTCGGAAACAGCGTCAGATCGCGGTCAGCGGCGATGCCAAACACGTCAAACGGCGTCGGGAGAGTTCCACGGGTCCGGTGCGGTCCTGTACCCCGGTCCCCTGCCCTCTCATCCGGGCGGAGCGGCTCTCTTTCCGCGGAAGATGTGCCACGGAGCTCGCCTTTCATCCGCAGCGACCATGTGGCAAAGAGAGGGGGCGCTGTCCGAATTTTAGCGCAGTAACGTCGCATTTTTAAGCTTTTAATTCATCAAACTTGCATTGTGTTGTCTTTAAACTCGGTGTAAATCAATAATATGAAGTTATAATTAGTAGTAAAGTAATTTGAGAACTTGGTTGTGAGTTTTAGCTTTGTAGTGTCCCCCCGCGCTGGAGTTGGTACAGTCCAGCCAGCGCAGAAACAGTGGAAATGGAAAAAGCGCCTATCTGCCCCGGGCCTATTATTAGCGCCGTTTATCTTAAATAAACCTGAAGATCTGGACGAAACACGGACGAGGTTTTATCACCGAAGAGCGAGACGTAAAGGTTCAACAGAGCAAAGGTCCACAAACTCCCGGAGACCCGCTCTTATATGTGTCTATAAACCAGGACTAAACCAGGACTAAACTAGGTCTAAACTAGGTCTAAACCAGGACTAAAGCAGGGTTAAACTAGGTCTAAAACCAGGATTAAACCAGGACTAAACCAGGTCTAAAACCAGGTCTAAACCAGGTCTAAACTAGGTCTAAACCCATAAATAAACTAGGACTAAACCAGGACTAAACCCAGAACTAAACCAGGACTAAACCAGAACTAAACCAGGACTAAAGCAGCTCTAAATCAGGATTAAAACCAGGTCTAAAGCAGGGTTAAACTAGGTCTTAAACCATAAATAAACTAGCACTAAACCAGGGTTAAACCAGGACTAAAGCAGGACTAAACCAGGCCTAAACCAGAACTAAAACCAAGTCTAAACCAGGTTTAAAACCAGATCTAAAACTAGAACTAAAGCAGGACTAAACTAGAACCAAACCAGAACTAAACCAGGACTAAAGCAGGACTAAACAAGGTTTAAAACCAGATCTAAAACTAGAACTAAACCAGGACTAAACTGGATCTAAACCAGGCCTAAACCAGGTCTAAAACTAGAATTAAACCAGGTCCAAACCAGAACTAAAACCAGAACTAAACCAGGTCTAAAACCAGGTTTAAAACCAGATGTAAAACTAGAACTAAACCAGGACTAAACTAGGTCTGAACCAGGACTAAACCAGGACTAAACCAGGACTAAACTAGGTCTGAACCAGGACTGAACCAGGACTAAACCAGGACTAGGTAAATGTCCGTATTCTTCTCTGTTCCTCCAGGGCCCATCTGTCTGTAGGTTTAGTTTAAGAGCAGACAGGCGCTCTGCTGTGTGTGTGTGTGTGTGCGCGCGCGTGTGTGTGTGTGTGTGTGTGCGTGTGTGTGTGCGTGTGTGTGTGCGTATGTGTGTGTGTGTGTGTGTGTGTGTGTGTGTGTGTGTGTGTGTGAGAGAGAGAGAGAGAGAGAGAGAGTACATGCATTATTAAGAGTGTGTGCATGTGGTCCTTCCTGCAGCCTGACACCTGCCCACCGCCAACACTGTACACAGGTACGGAGACTGACAGGAGCAGGGACAGGAGCAGGGACAGGAGCAGAGACAGGAGCAGGGACAGGAGCAGGGACAGGAGCAGAGGCAGGAGCAGAGACAGAGAGCAGAGCAGAGAGACAGACAGGAGCAGGGACAGGAGCAGGGACAGGAGCAGAGACAGGAGCAGGGACAGGAGCAGAGACAGGAGCAGGGACAGGAGCAGAGGCAGAGCAGAGGGCAGGAGAGCAGAGCAGGAGCAGAGGCAGGAGCAGAGGCAGAGCAGAGCAGGGACAGAGGAGCAGAGGAGCAGAGGCAGGAGCAGAGGACAGGAGCAGGGACAGGAGCAGAGGCAGGAGCAGGAGCAGGAGAGAGGCAGGAGCAGAGGCAGGAGCAGAGAGCAGGAGCAGAGACAGGAGCAGGGACAGGAGCAGAGGCAGGAGCAGAGGCAGGAGTAGAGGCAGAGCAGGACAGGAGCAGAGGCAGGAGCAGAGGCAGGAGCAGAGGCAGGAGCAGAGGACAGGAGCAGGGACAGGAGCAGAGGCAGGAGCAGAGGCAGGAGTAGAGGCAGGAGCAGGCAGGAGGCAGGAGCAGAGGCAGGAGCAGAGGCAGGAGAAGAGGCAGGAGCAGAGACAGGAGCAGAGGCAGGAGCAGGGACAGGAGCAGAGGCAGGAGCAGGGACAGGAGCAGAGGCAGGAGCAGAGGCAGGAGCAGAGGCAGGAGCAGAGGCAGGAGTAGAGGCAGGAGCAGAGACAGGAGCAGAGGCAGGAGCAGAGGCAGGAGCAGGGACAGGAGCAGAGGCAGGAGCAGAGGCAGGAGCAGGGACAGGAGCAGAGGCAGGAGCAGAGGCAGGAGCAGAGACAGGAGCAGAGACAGGAGCAGAGGCAGGAGCAGGGACAGGAGCAGAGGCAGGAGCAGAGACAGGAGCAGAGGCAGGAGCAGAGACAGGAGCAGAGGCAGGAGCAGAGACAGGAGCAGAGGCAGGAGCAGAGGCAGGAGCAGAGACAGGAGCAGAGACAGGAGCAGAGACAGGAGCAGAGGCAGGAGCAGAGACAGGAGCATGTCGCAGAACAAATAGTACCATATTTTTTGGATTATAGGTCACACTTTTTTCATGGTTTGGGTGTTTCCTGTGACTTACACAGAATATTAAAATGTTCCTCCTGTTCCTCCTGCACCACTGTCACTTCACTCTACTGCGCATGTCCCCTGCAGAAAGAGCCTCTGTCCTGCTGCGAGTCGTGAAATCTGCAGCTGAAAACGGAAATCGAGCAGCAGAAAGAAAGTTTGGAGAGAGAGAGAAACTTGTGACACCGGGAGGATGAACCATGAAACTTTCCTGAAGTCACTGGATGGATGGACAAAGTCTGGACTTCAGTGACACCGAAACCATCCTGTCGGGATTCAGAAAGACACGAATAATTCAGTAAATATAACCAGGTCTAGTCCCCGTCTAAACCAAGGTCTAAACCAGGTCTGAACCAGGTCTAACCAAGGTCTGAACTGGAAGCTGTCCTAAACCAAGTCTAGGTCTAACTGAGGTCTAAACCAGGTCTAACCATGATTAGAATCAGGACCTGGACTAAACAAAGTCAAAGCCAGATCTAAGTCAGGTCTAACCAAGATCTAATCCAGGTCTAAACCAGGTCTAAACTAGGTCTAACCAAAATCTAATCCAGATCTAATCCAGGTCTAACCAAGGTCTAACCCGAGGTTTAACCATAATCAGGATCTGGATTAAACGAAGTCAAAGCCAGATCTAAACTAGGTCTAACCAAGATCTAATCCAGGTCTAACCCGAGGTCCTTCAGTGACACAGAAACTATCCTGTCGGGATTCAGAAAGACCAGAATAATTCTAACTGGAACTGATGCTGAGTCTGACGACAGCGACACAGAAGAGTTTGCGTCGCTCTGTTTACCTCCGGAGGTCGAGTTGTTCAGAAGTGACACCGAGGATGAAGAACTGAATGGATTTAGTGATTTGGAGTGAGATGGAGAGTTTTGTTAAACTTGTTCTGTTCTGTTGTTTATGTTATAGTTTATCTGAAGAACTGTTCATATGTGACATTAACAATCTGTTGTTCTCTCTTCTATTGTTTTTACTACAACTTGACTTTACACAGGAAATGTCGGTTCCTAGTCTCCTGAACTGGCCCTCAAAAGTTGTCATGACCCTTTTTTTTTTTTTTTTTTAATAATAACACATCTGCATCTTGTATTTTGTTGATTTTTTCATTTAAAAAACAATATTTATATGATTTATGTTTAATTATATGACGTTTTTACATTTGCCGCTGAATTTTCGTCACTCGAGATCAAACAGCGACAGTCGACGCACATGCTCCGAGTTCTGTGGTGCAGTTAAGGACAGAAAAATGTCTCGTGTTAAAGTACGAAAAGTTGACAGAGAGCGCCGGGTTTTCAAAGAACAGTGGACGACCGATTATTTTTTCGTTCAGTGTCGGATCGATGTAAAGAAAGTGCGGAGGTTTCCAAAGAACATAATGTGCATCGTCAGGGTCGTACAATTCTGTTCTACGACCGACCCGACCCCCAGAAAAAAAAATAAAAAGGGTCTAAAGTCTTGTCGGAAAGTCGAAGAGAAGAGGAATGAGACTGGATTTGGTTGATTCTTCAGTACAGACTCAGCACAGACACATGCAGGACACTGAGATGGTGTTGTCCATTCAGTCTAGTTCAGTCCTGTGTGCCTTTGCTTCTGTTGTAGGGAGTATTATACCTCTGACGACGTAGGCCAAGATATTAAGGACTGAGTTGACAGTGAGAGATTTCAATACAGCACAGAAATAGAAATAAAAAGGTCTACTTTATTGGGAAATACGGTCATAAAAATCGAATCGTGCTCTGACCCTGAGTTCGTGACAGTTTGTTTTGTGATTCGCCGTTTCTCCAAACAAAAACCGAACCCACTCGCCCTTTGGACTGAGCCGATCGCAGTGACGCAAATGATTTTATTTGGCAAAACCGTGTGACAGCTCTGCTGTCGATAATCTCCACAGTGACGACAGAGCAGCAGCTGTTCGACTTCACCTGTTCTTACTCGGAATCACGACTAAACACGAGGCACCATGACTCAGAGTTTCAGATTCACGCAGCAAAAACCCGGAACAGACTGAACACATGAGACAGACTCGAGTCTTAAAACGGTTCTGTTCACCTGCGTATCACTGAACGGTTTTTATTCCGCACTCTTTTTCTCTCTAATTTAATGTCTCTTTTTAATTTTATGATGATTGTTTATGTTTTTATTGTGATTTTATTGTTTTTCTTATTCTGTAAAGCACTTTGAATTAATTTGTGTACCACTTGTGTTGTACAAATAAACTTGCCTTGACTCACAGGTGTAGATTTTTTTGTTGATGTTGTTATTGGGTTTTCTTCAAAATGACATATTGGGATTATAAATTGCCATAATATATTAACCCCTTACGTGGTAGTTTTTACAACATACCACCTACTGCCAATTTGATGTGATGCAAAAATGTGATAAATCCTTTATGTTTTTTTGTTGTTTTTTTTACT